AAAATATTAAATCCACTTCGTCATAACTTACTGAGGATAAGTTTTGCCTGAAGGACATTACGACAACGGGCCATCAGCACCTGTTGTCTTTGACTCTGAAGGACACGCTCTTCAGCTCAGGCTGAGAGTTGAAGCAGGAGAACTCGATGAACACTTGGTCGTGGCGAACGATGACGTCAGAGGTGTTCTGGCTCATGATGGCGTTGGTGTAGTTGATTTCATTTGCACCCGACTGAAAGATCACACGATCAGACAACGAGACGTTTTTCAGACAGTAACCGTGTCTAACGACGCCAGCTAACCAAGAACCAGCAGAAATATCTCAGCAGAGCCTCGTGAGAGTCCATTTTCTCGTGAAGCTGACAGTTAGAACCTACGGTGATCTCCGCTCCGCAGAGTTTCTCGGTGTTGAAGTTGAACGTCACCATGTTGGACTTCCTGTCCAGCTCCCCCCTGCACCTCTGGTCATTGAGATGTAAGTCTTTGTAGTTGATGCCTCGTTCCTCCATCAGACACTTGGCAAGCTTTAACGAAGCAGAGTTGTGCTTGCAGACTGTTGGCTCACCTACAAAACAATCAAATATGTAAAAAAAAAAAAAGGTTTGAAAGGAGGCGCTATTTATAAGACAGATCTGGGTTGGCAGGCCTCACACTGATGAAGTCCTTCAGATGAAAGACGAAACGTTTCTCCCAAAAAGAAACTGTTCAGATGACCTGCGTTAACACTTTTTTGTGATTTATCTACCTGGACGATTGAGGCTACACCTCTTTTTCTAAAACATTTTGGCCTTGGTTGCCCTCAGGCTGTTTCTGTGAATAGCAAGTTGGCCACCTGAACTACAACATTTGATTGTTATGCACTGATGATCGATTGTTTTGGAAGGATGGGCCCCTTTTTGCATGTGTAGAGCCAGTTTCTGGGAATTCCACGGAGGACTAGTCTGAAACACGTCAATGAGGCGCTATTTATAAGACAGATCTGGGTTGGCAGGCCTCACACTGATGAAGTCTTTCGGATGAAAAATGATACGTTTCTCCCCAAAAGAAAGTGTCCAGATGACCTGATTTAACCCTTTTTTTGTGATCAAATATATATATATTTTTGTAATCAAAATATGCCTTTTTTTGTATTTAGGCCTGTCACGATAACAAATGTTGCTGGGCGATTAATTGTCTCAGAAATTATTGCTGTAAACAATAATATTGTTTGAAATTTGACAATAATTAGTAATTGTAAAATTTAAGAAGAAATGTTGGTTAATTTTTGTAGTACCTTTTTTTGACCACTGGATGTCAGTATAAGACAGTTTGAACCGAAAGATGGATAGTGAGGGAGCGAGCAGCATGTCTCAAGAAAAATGGGAGGGAGGCCCCTTGACGTGACATGGGCTGTCTCGCGTTCCTGTTTTTTGGTTCTCAAAATGGTGAACGCTCGGTGTGGTTTGAATTCGTTAGCATAGCATTTTTTACGAAAAGTTTTTAATAAAAACTCAGTAAACAAGTTCTCAGCTTCTTTTTTCAGAGAAAAACAACTTTTTACACGAAGACACGGGTTTCAACCATGAATTTTGGAGCTTCGATAAGACGGAAGTTTTTCCCCCCGAGGTTGGCCTGTTGGCTTATCTCGTAATTTAGCTTCTCAGCTTTGCTGCTTTTAACGTCAAAAAAAGCGATTTTGGATGTTAAAACAGATTTTAAAGAAAAAAGATAAAGGGAGGGGTCAGTGAAGAACCAGAGTTGAGCTTTTTGTCATCCTGTGTCTTCAGTAGAAAGAGAAAGATACGAAGAAACGATGAAGCCGATAAATGAAAACGAGGTCGATAATTTTCATTTATCATGCGATTAATTGATTTATTTATAGCGATAGACCTAGTTGTATTATGTCCATCACAGATGTCTTACCCAGAGTGTTGGACTCCTTGTACTTGTAGGCAAACAGAGCTCTGCAGAGGCAGGCAGGTTCTCCGCTGAACTTCCAGCCACAGAACTCATGATCGCTGCAGATTTTGTCCATGCAAAACGCCTTGGGTGGAGCTACAAGGAAACAGAGATAAATCGCTCAATTGATGTGAGCGTCATAATAAAACGTGCATCTGTTGTCTGGGACGTACAGCATTCAGCCTCGGTCCACCAGTCTCCCAGGTTGCTGTTGCCATTCAGGCTGCAGGCTCTGGCGTAGGCCCACAAGAACTGAGTCATGAGGCCGTCCTCCGTGGGATATTTGCACATCGTTTCCTTGCAGGCATTAATGTAGGGTGTTGGGTCAACGTGGGCATTGCAGGAGGTGAAGGGTGCTTTTTTCAACATGTTACAGCTAAAACACATTTGAGAAAAAAAAAAGATCAAATATTGTTTTATTCATCCTCGACCAGTGCAGATGTGATGCATTATGTATTGTGTGATTTTATAACAAATTCTAACACTGCAAGACATTTATTTATTGATTTATTTTACTGTAGATGCACATGCTCACCGTTTAGTCACCGAGGAGCAGCTGATTGTACTGTCAGGATTATCTGTGTACTGGACCTCACAGCTAGGAGGAGACAGACAACAAGTTTAAGATCATGATGTGTAATATGTACCATGCCTTTCTCATAAAATACACTAGAATTGATTGACTAAATTACAATACACTCAGTGCAGCTGCATATGTGAGCAAACCAGAGATTGTGACTCCATGAAACTCATATGGAACGGGACATATGGGGCTCAAAGTGTGCTGCCAACTATGTGATAAACTAAGATACATTTGTTGGAGTTCAAGTCCAGGCAGGATCCTGTGGATGGAGAAAAGTTTCAGGAGTGATTTGTGACAAAATGGTGTCAGCAAAGGTCAAAGGAAAAGTTTACAAGACATTGGTGAGACCAGCTATGTTGTATGGTCTGGAGACAGAGACATGGACAAAAAGACAGGAGACAGAACTGGAAGAGACAGAAATTAAGATGTTGAGGTTCTCCTTAGGAGAGACAAGGATGGAGAAGATCAGGAATGAGATCATCAGAGGTACAGCACAGGTTGAACAACTGGGAGGTAAAGTTAGAGAGGACACACTGAGATGGTTTGGACATGTCCGGAGGAGGGACAGTGGGTATATTGGTAGAAGGATGTTAGAAATGCAGCTGCCAGGAAAAAGAAAAAGAGGAGACATATGGATGCAGTTAGAGAGGACATGGAGGTGGTTGGAGTGAGGACAGAGGACACAGAGGACAGAGTGAGATTGAGGAAGATGATTCGTTGTGGAGACACAGAAGAGATAATAATAATCATCATAATAATAATAATATACGAAGAACAAGGAGAACAAAAACAAGAAGAACAAGAACAACAAGAAGAAGAACAAGAAGAACAACAAAAAGAGCAAGACCAAGAATATTTTTTCTCATTGATAAACATTGTCTGAAAGGATTGAGCTTGAGTAAATAGTGTTCCATATCATACAGTATATGTGACTCCCTAAAGAAGTTCAAGTTCAAGTTGGTTTTATTATCATTCGCATCCCATGTGGTACATGAGGTGGAACGAAATTGTGTAATCATCGGGATCAGTAAAGAAAAACACAGCTTGTGATACCTGGGGGAGCTGAGCTGAGGGAGCCTTGCTCTAAAAGTATTTCTGGAATCAACACACAAACCATCTGCAGAGCGATGAAGAGGCGCTGAAAAGATTCAGGAGAGAACATGAGTCAGAACAGTGTCCATGCTCAGTCTGGATCAACACAAACATAGGTGCCTATTAACGTTTTTTTATAAAAAGTAAAACATTCCTAAAAGAAATGCAAATTACCCAAAGCCTTGCATGCTAATATTTAAAGACAGCTGTTGAGCAATCTGTTAGCACTTCACATGTGTGTTGGGAAAAGGTTTCAGTTATGACAACACGCTGGTGGGTGATAATCAAGCAGCATTTAGCAGTATATAATTGAAACTTAAGAAAACTAGCTCTTAGTGCTTTAAGGTGTTCCAACTTTGCTTTTTAGACTAACCATGAGTAGTCTTTGGACGTTGGACTCAGGAGGAATGTGTAAGTTATACACATGTTCATTACGGGTGTGAATTAAATCTTGGTACATTGTTGCTAATGTGTCGATCGTACCGATCAAAACAAGTCAACCATGATTTAGAGATAACTTGTGACTTTGTGGCATTAAGGTTTCCTCCCCATTGGTAGGGTTCAATTTGAAACATTTCTAAATGAAATCAAAATGTGTTCATAGATATCTAAGCTAAGCATTAGCATTAGGCTAAATTTACTGTGAAACTGAAAGTTTTATAGACGTCTAAACCTTAACGTAATGCAGAAAAGAATAGGACCATTGCATATGACTTTTCTTGGAATTATGAAATTGATATCCAAAAGTCAGAAATCTGAAAATAATAATAATAAATAGATCAAACTCTAAAGTAAGGCAGGGGTGTCACTGAGCTTCCTTGCTATCTAGTCACTCCAAACTTGAGGACAAGCAAGGGCCAGAGTGTACCCATAAAATAAAGGACTGGTAAAATAGTTTAAATCCTTCATGACGACATCTTAGAGTGCACTCCTCTTACATTTCATGAAGATCTGTGCTGTGTAGCAATCCAAGAACACAGAGATGCTGAGCTTCGAGGTGGCAAAACTCGCTGTGACTCCAGTTTCATCCTTGGAGAGCTCAACACCATAAAACTGCTTCACTGATCTGCTGAGGGTCATTGATTTGTTGTTTATCTGTATCGGTGTAAAAAGAAAGAAAAAAAAAACAGAGAATGGAACATCTAAAATATTCAAGGTTATACTACAAGTTTAATTAATAGTCGACTACTAAT